AGAGTTCATTTTTCATGTGAAAGGTTGAAGTACTCAACTGCAAGCCTAGCTCAGGATCTGAAATCAGATTAGTAAAACGAGTCACAAAAGTGGTTTCTAGCATCACATTGCTAACAGTGTGAAAGGTACTGATTTAGCTCCTTCATTGGTGAATATAAAAGGTGAGAGGAGATATAAATGAAGTTCATAATGTTATGAGGAGGGTATATATGGATTTTCTGTATGTTATTAGTTGGTGTGTCTTTCATGCATTATTGTAATTTATTGATTGCTCACTCAATATCAAGCACTGTCCTTGGTGCAGACCTACAAAGATAAGACATATACTCTGCCTTTATTAAGGAGACAATAGTTTTGTGGGAGAGTCCAAGTGTACACACAATAGGTTCTCAATAAATATCTGCTGAATACATGTTTTGGTTAGGTATGGGGGTGAATAACAAAAGTGTTCGGAGTGTATGTAGCAAGTACTATGATACAGCAGGATAGGCCATGCAGAGATACTTGGACTTCTGCTAAAAGTTTCTGTAAGCATGACCTTAAAGTCACATTTGGGAGGAATTATATAGAGAAAGTTAGTAGGAAGAGTGAAGGGAACTTACAGAAAATAATATGTGCAGAGATAGGAAACTGAGACAGAACATGGTGACTTTATATCATAGAACTGTAGTTTCAGTATACATGGCATTGTGTTGAAAGATGAGAACAAAGATTAGTAAGGGGACTTCAGGAAAGCCATGTATGCTCACAAAGAAATTCTTGTGTTGTTGTATAGACACTGAATCTCAAACATAGCATTGTTATAACACAGTAGAGACAATCATGGCTAATATTTATAAAATGCTTACTATATACTAGATGTTTTACATATATTAATTTTTTAAACCTCATCTATCCTCCTGAGATGGGAATTACTATAGCTCATTTTAAGGAGTAGACAAGTGAAATTATGTAACTGATTTGAGATAATAGAGCTGGGATTTAAACCCAATGATCTGGCTCCAAAACCCACACTCCTACCACTTTAGTATATTGCCTCTTAATGCAGTGTCACATTTTGTGTAACTTGCTATTAATAATTATATTTGAATATCTAAGTTGAACATTTATTATTTTTGTGATACTACATCTCTCATTCACTTACTTTCCAATATACTTTCTCACGTTGGAGAAAAGAAGTATAGGAACAGGGGGGCACCAGGAATTATATATAATTCTGAGACATTTGTGAGAATGTGTTATACAAGTAGCAGTCTTCCATCCTGGGTAGCCTGGTGCCTTGGTGGAGGACAGAGCCTCAGGTCCTCCAGCCCATCACCCTGGCAGGGGATACGGCCTGAGGTCTCTCAGTCTGGCACTGGGGGAAGGTGCAGCCTGAGGTCCCCAGCCAAGCTCCTCTGGGCAGGAACATGGCCTGAGGTTTCCCATAAAGCCCTGCATGGCAGGGGGTGTGGCCTCATGTCCCTCGACCTAAGAAAGATCATATCCTGCCCTAGCCAGTTTGGGTCAGTGGATAGAGCCTTGGCCTGCAAACTGCAGGGTCCAGGTTCAGCTCTGATCAAGGGCATGTACCAGGGTTGCAGGCTTCTCCCTGGCCGGGGCCCAGGCCAGGGCTCATGCAGGAGGAAACCAATCGAAGTGTCCTTTTATAATACATTGAGGTTTCTCTCTGTCTTTTCCTCTCTCTTCCACACTCTCTAAAATTCAGTGGGAAAATATTCTCAGTTGAGGATTAAAAAAAAATAAAAGAAAAAAGAAATGTCATATCCTATGAAAGAGACATCTTGAAAATGCCTAAAGCAAGTTGTCATATTTTTGTGGTGAAGAGACTGGAGTCCATGTTGATGAGAACACCTTGGCTGTGGTGGCCATCAGTGGCAGCAGCAGTGGGGTGATGAGGGTGGCACCTTCCCCTGGTCTCCTCCTGCAGCCTGTGGTCACACTCCTCACGGGATGTCCTAAACTGTCATTAGGACATCCTGTAAGGGCTTGGGGATTATGAGAGGGAGTAGGAACCCCCACCAGTGCATGGATTTTGTGCCCTGGGCCTTTAGTATATAGATAAACTTGCTTAATTAGACCTGCTTTCTGATTTAGCCAAACTTCTTCCAGCCCAGTGAAGCACCACAACTACTCTTTCAGGTACTTGTCAGCAACACAGCAGTAAATATCAACATGAAGGAGATTATATTGTAGATCATGCAGGGAGAACAAAGGATGAAATATTTAACTATGGCAGTGTTTTACTATATTCTGCTCAGTGAGAAAACCTGAAGTCATTTTCAAGTTCCACAATTTCTTACTTATTTTCAATTGGGTCAAGTTTCTAAACTTTCTAAATCTCTGATATCTAGGCTTCTACCAAGACTCCTATCTACTTACTCCAGGACTTCTGGGAGGATCAAATGAGATGAGGCACAGAAAATGCTTCACAGACATTTGGTTAAAATATAAAATGTTTGCACCTGGCTATAAAGCAACTCATGTTCCTGGGCTAAAGAAACTGCAAGGAGGCTAGTCACTAGTGAGAGGAAGCCAGGTATTGCTATGTGACATCATTACCCGGTGCCCACAGAGACCATTTCTGGGCTGGGCTGTGGGGCACATTTTGCACCATGGGGTCTCAGCAGCATTGGCTGCAATTTGGTGGGCTGTGTGTCCCACTTGGGGGAAGCCTAGTGTTGCTTTGTTGGTGCCAGATCCACAGTGCAGTTTCTATATAAATGGCCAGTGAGCGTCATGGCAGATTCTGCAATGAGAGTCTGCCCTCTGTGGTCAGTACACTTCATAGCTACTAGTTGGATGGTCAGAGATACAGTTAGCATATTAGCCTTTTATATACATAAATAGTCCTTCAGTGAAAAATGTGACAATATTGGGAATTTTACTTAGAGAAAATAAAATGTTCCTTTATTCATGGAGAATATGACATCAATATTTTTTGGAGTAACACATAAGTGTCAGGAATTCATGATGATGTGAATGCAAACTTCATAACATGTATTTTTTCCACTCAGGAATACCTTCCATTTGAATTTCCATAATCTTTTGTCTATATATCACTTAAAGAACTTTTAATATTCTGTCTATTACTCTGCTTTGGTGTATACTGAAATACATATGGAATGAATAAGGATCACATCTAAATACCTGAAGTGTTGTTCATTGCCCTTGAACAATTGTTTATTTAAAGTGGCTTTATTACCCAAAGTTTTACATCTAAGGAGACTGAGGATTGAAAGGTTAACCTGCTTGAGGTCACTAGGAGTTAAAAAAGGTTTTAATCAGGTATGAAAATGGTTTTCCCCATGAGTATGTCAGGAGTAGCTAAGCAGTACTGATTGCTTGGAAAGATCCTATTTTACTTCATAATTCCTCATTTCTTTCTTAATTTATATAGTAAGTAATTTCCCACATGAACTATTAATCATAATTTAAAAACATACAACTCCTTTAGGATTTCAAAATATGTTCATATTCCTTGTTAAGTCCCCGTGTGACAGGTGAAGAAAGAGACATGCCCACATTGTAGAAATAAACAGGGAAGCAGAGTTACAATGGACATGACCCTCTTGACTCTCAGGCCAGTACTCTCTCTTCCATGCTGTACCACTTTTTGTGGCCAATTCCAGTTAGCTCTGGCCTCATCAGAGACCTCATCACACTGTTTAAATTTTAGGGAGATCCCAGAGAACAGAGGATGTTAGACATCTCTTCATTTAATTCTAGGAACGTACCCTGATTGCTGCTGTGTTATTCTAATTGTGTTTATTTGAAAGTTCCTTTCTGTAGTCATCCATTTTGTTTGACAAGTTAAAAGTAGAATTTTGTTATTATTGGTTTTAATTAAAAGCTCCACAGGTAGGATAAGGAACTCATGCTAAGATGGAAATATATGGAGTTGGCTTATAGAACAATTGGTAGTATACATTTTTGGAGAATATAATATGGAAAAGAGATTGCGATAAGGGGACACTTCCTAGTACAGTATTAAAATTAAATTCAGTATGCTGTGAGAAGAAAGTCAGGGAAGGGGCCTGCAGAGAGAAGACAGACACAAAGAAACGGGGCTGGTGTCAGGTGAAGTTGTCCAGATACCAAAGGGTAGTCCAAGAACATGAGGTGGGGAGGGTCTCTGAATGCTGTTAGAGTAAAGGAAGGTTTGTAGAGATACCGAAGCTCCATGGATCAGGAAAACACTGGGGGTAGTGATCCCTTTCTACTCTGAAAACCTGTGATTATAAAAAAGGTAATAGGAGGGAACATAAAAGTGAGCAGAAGCTTTTAAGAGAAAAGATGAAAGCTCACGAGAGAAATGGGAGTTTAGAAAAGAAGGTGTTTCATGCATCCTGCTGCCCTGCCACTCTCACACCTGTCGCAGTGAATGAGGAGAACTTCTATGATCTGAGCAGGGCTGAGACTTCCCAGGGATCACTTCCTCACCCACTGAAAGCTTCCCAACAGCAGCCCACGTGGGTATGCTCTTGGGCAAAGGTAGTGGAAGCAAAGGCTTGGCAGAGAAACTGCATAGGGCACCTGCTTCTGAAGGGAGCTCAGATCAGAGTAAAGCAAAACCCCAGGGAATCCGGCTGGGTCGTTTTCCTGCCACATTTTGAGTTGCAGTTGGTAGTTCCAATTGTACAAGAGCTGCTGTACTCCAAGACATCTACACTCTTCTTCATTAGCTGTCATTCTCTGCAGCCACTATTGAATATGCAGCCCATCCACTTTTATTCATGTAACTGTTATGCCTAACTTGATACTCATCATTTACTTTCTCTCATGCACGGTAAAGCATGTCTACTCCCTGTACCTACTGCTGGGCCTCGTTTCATGTAGGAGATATTATGCTATTAAGACTGACTTTATATGGATTACAACTCTTCATATCTCTTACCATGCACAATATATTTTTATATACCTCTCTTTCTCAGAGAGAAACAAGCCCAGTGGGCTATCTTACGAAGAGTTTATTAACTTTGTTTTCTGAACATTTATAGGTAGTGCTGGCACACCCGTCACTTTTAATGAGAATGGAGATGCTCCTGGGCGCTACGACATCTTCCAGTACCAAATCACCAACAAGAGTACGGAGTACAAGGTCATCGGGCACTGGACCAATCAGCTCCACCTAAAAGCAAGTATCAATATAAATGTACACCAGTGGATATTGTTCTCAAAGAAGAATGCATTATTTTAAAGTATATAACCTTTATTAGAATACATTTTCTCCCAAGTGCATTTTTAGGAAATGTATGATTTGATTCTATCTTCAACTGTAAAATGTGATGGAAAGTCTTCAATGTCTATAGAGATAGCTGGTAATTGTAGGGATTTAATGAAATATTTCATTTTCTTTTCATTGACGATATATACACTTAAAGGCAACTTTGCTCTTTTCCGAAAGATTCACTGAGTCAAATCTTTGTACCCTGTGTGTGTGTGTAGGAGGGAGGGCTAGGGGGTGGATGATAGAGTATGACATGAATGCTAAAGTTGGGGCTTAAAAATAAGTATTTTTCATCTTTACCACATCTACAGAGGGAACCGTTAGAATACATCTGATTGATGGAAGTGCATCCTGATCTGGATCTACATTTCATCTTGCTTAAATTTTTTTTTTAATTAATTGTTTTACAGAGAGGAAGGGATAGATAGAGAGTTAGAAACAGCTATGAGAGAGAAACATCAATCAGCTGCCTCCTGCACACCCCCTCTTGGGGATGTGCCCACAACCATAGTACATGCTTGGCTAGAATTGAACCTGGGACCCTTCAGTCTGTAGGCCGATGTTCTATCCACTGAGTCAAACCGGTTAGGGCTACATTTCACCTTTTGATGGCAGCACCAGAGAAAGTTAACATACCCAATGTAATGACTATTATTTATTAGCCTTTAGAACTGTCTGCTGTCCCTGTCTTACCTCAGATGCTGTCAAAACACAATGTCATGTGAGGACAACTTGGATAGAGCAGGTAGAAGCAGGGTCTCAGGGCCTGTGGATGATGCCAAACACGGCTGGGCATTTGCCTGCCCGGGTGCCACAGGGCCACAGAGCTCTGTCTTCTCCCGCTGGGGTGTGGTGGGGACCAGGTGTGGGTGGCATGCGGGGTGGTGAAGGGCAGAGGAACTTTTTCAGATGTTCCTGGTTGGAACATCTCCAAGGAGCTCTCCTAGGGAAGGAGGCTTCGGGGACTTTGGGGAGAGCTGTCTTTGATTGACACCCACCAATCATAAGGGGCTCTGAGCAGAAAGTCAATCCTGAACTTGATGAATAAGGAAACTCAGGAAGTTACAGGGTACAGGGCTGGCGGTGGTGGCCTGGGTAGGATGGTTGGAACACTTTACCGCTGGGTAGGAAATTATTTCTCATTTGAATGCCCTTGGTGCCATAGCAGTGCTCACTGGTTTCCCTGGATATAAAATAGGGACTGCCCTGTATCTCAGAAAAGGACGGGCATCCTTTCACTCAGTATCTCTTCTACACCTATAACATAGTACTATTTGCAGAAATTGATGGCCAAGGAATTGTTACAGCAGCAGTGTTTCCTCCGTAGGCAATAAAATGCTTTTAAAGTGCTTCAAATGAATGGGAATCATACTCTGCTACTTTCTATTGAATTAATTTGTATTCCATGCTTTTCTCTAATGTAAGTATCTTCTCTTCTTGATTCTCAAAGCTACCATAACACTGTGAGAGTTGAGTTCATTTCCTAAATCAATAATGAAGTTCATTTCCTAGGTACAGCTTATCCTAGCTAAAAGGTAAAAGCTCATACCACATATGAGGGTGAGAGGATAATGTACACATGGGCTTTCATGTGTGTGAGCCCACTCAGCAGACATCTATTTAGCCTTTTAATACACGTTCACTTTCACATGTCCAAAGATAGCCCTTCAGTGTATGTTTATACAGCATCAGTCACCAATGTTCTCGGAAAAGAAGCAGATGATGAGAAATAACAAAACTAGGGTAATTTAGGATCGATTGTCTCTGAAATGGCTTCCTGATAATTAGCACAATTGTATTGAATAGCACAACCGCACTTCTGTTTCAACTACTGCTGTGCTATGCAGGACCATGTATCTACACTGTCCTTCAAGGAATAGCCTCCTGAAGTCTTACCCCTTGTTCTGCAACCCAGATTGACATTTATCCAAACACATCATCAGCAGCTCTGCAGGTCATTGGTGCCAATCTGAAAACCAATAGCTTTTTAAAATGTATCTTTATTGTTGACCGTATTACAGATGTCCCCCTTTTGTTCCCATTGACCTCCTCCACTCAGCATGCACTGCCCCCCCCCCCCCCAAAGGCCTGCACCATACTACAATATTATTGTCTGTGTCCATGGGCTATGCATATAGGTTCTCCAGTTAATCTCTCCTCACCCCACCTCCCCACCCCCTTGTCTTCAATCTGAGGAGCAATAACTTTTTGGCAAAGCCCTTTTGAAAATGGACCTATGTTAAGTAGAATAGATTTGACAAAGAAAATTTGATAAGGGCTAAAATGAAGCTCCTTTTTTTATTTTTTATTAATGCCAACCCACCTATTAGAGTCTTATGATTAGATGTTTGCATAACAAAATTAAGTGGTTGACAATATGTGTATTAATATATAATACCAAGATACCTAAAATAATTACACACAGAAGTATATATATATATACACACCTCTCTATTTGTGAGTGATATGTTTATTATAAAACTTTATATCATGTTATTGTTCATAAAAGACAACAAAACCAGTTGTAAGAATTATCTCTCAAGCATGATCATGATCATTTATAACTTGATATAAGTCTTATTGTACTGAAACAGGGAGAATGAAAATGTGAGAAGAAAAGAGAGTGAATTAAACTATGGGGAGAGGTTATGTCAATTCTGTTGAATTCCATAATTTATCCAGAAAAACTAAATTTTATTGGGAGTTGGATCAGTCACCAGCTTGAAGGTGGAGTGGGGGGTGGTTGGAAAATGACCAATTTATTAAAATTCTGCTTAGAACTTGGTCAAGGCACCAAACAAATTATTTGCCTCCCTTTGGTCATATGTAAAATGGCAACATTATTAACACCTACTTACTTGGTGGTAATGAGTATTAAATGGAACAGTAAAATGAAGCATTTAGTCCAGGGCCTGGCACACATGAAATGCATCAATATTACCTGTTATTAACCTGGTGCCTCATGATTCTGTGTGGGCACTGGGAGGTCTGCTAATGCATGTGGTGAAGAGTGAAGGTCTCTATTAGAAGAGGCTCTTGCTTTTAGAAAGTTCAGAGAGAATCTCTACACTTCAAATGTTGACTATGTGTTCCCACAGCTCACTGTTTCTGCCTGACTTTACTATTGCCCTTAATGATTTAGCAAATCTATCTGCACTTAAAAAGTACACTTTATGGAAGAGAAATACATAGTTTGTTTTTTTATAGTAATGTGCAGCCACTTATTGTCACTTAGGTGGCTAGCTGGGAATGGATTTGTTAAGTTCTTTCTGTGCATATATTCTGTGCTAAGTGTTAGGACTAGAGTGAATATGTGGTCCCTGTGGTCAGGGAGCTCACAGCCTAGGACAGACAGACACTCTAACCAATAATTCTAGTGCAATGAGGCAGGTGCACTGATGAAGGTGTTTGCATGTTTTTTGTTGTGAGTTTAATAATCCTCCCCTGAGTATATGTTCATTGATTTTAGAGAGGAAGGGAGAAGGATAAGAATAGGGAGAGGGAGGGAGAGGGAGAGGGAAAGGAAGAGGAAGAGGAAGGGAGAGAGATATTGATTGGTTCCTTCCAGGATGTGCCCCAACCAGACATTGAACCCACAACTAGGAATGTGCCCTGACTGGGAATTGAACCTGCGATATTTCTGATGTGTGGGGTGATGCTCCAACCAACTGAACCACCTGCCAGAGTGTGTGCATGGTTTTGCAAGGCAGTGTGGAGAGAGATTGCTAATCTGGTGAAAGTTGATGAGGGACAGGGAAGAGTATTACTCACTGTATACTCCATCTCTCCTTATGCTATTAAACCAGATTTATAATATATTTCACACTCTCAGTGATAAACAATTATCAGCCAATTATTAGACTGATGTCTGCTTATTTTCCAAGAGCCAGTTTTTCTGCCTGAATTCAACCATAGGATGATTTTGTACATGGAGAGTATATAATTAAGCATATATGAGCACAGCAAATTTGCCCTGAATATATATTAGTGGAGTGAAATAATTTTTATAAAGTAATTCCTTTCTTTTTCCTGAAAAGTTATAAGGTGTTTTAGTTTATCAAAAACATTTTTATTCCAAATATTGCTTTTTTATTTATTTTTTTAAGGAACTAACATATGTTCTCCACTTAGCAATTACTATCAGTTAATGTAAATTATTTGTTTAATTTAGGGCTTCTAATCTCAGTGCACACATGAAAGTGAAGTTGAACAATTGTGCCTCTCTATTTGTTAGCTGATTTTCTCAAGAGACAGGTGATCCTTATTAGTGATTACAAACATATTGCAATCTAGAGGTTCAGAGTAAGCATCGAAGCCTGACCTGAGAAGGAACAGCCATATGCTGCTTTGAGTCCACAGGAAGAGGGTGGATCAAGGTTACTGGGCTGGCCTAAAATTACACAGGGCTCACATTTTTACTCTTCCAAACAGAGCCACTTTTTTTGATGTTGGTGTAGGAATGAGATGGGTTTTTGCTTGTCTGGTTTTCTTCTCTTTTTAGTCAAGTAAATAATTTGAAGATAAATAAACATAGTAAAGAATAGTGAGTTCACAGGTACCTCAACATGATTAGTGTTATTCACTGAGTGGCCAGATTATTATGATCTCTGAAAGCATAATAATCTTGCCATTCGGTATATATATATTAGAGGCCCGGTGCATGAATTCATGCATGGATGGGGTCTGGCTAGCCTGGCCAGGGGGAAGGGACATGAGCGGTTGGCTGGCCTGTCTGCTGGTCAAATTCCTGGTCAAGGGGACAATTTGCATATTAGCCTTTTTATTATATAGGATATACACTGAGTGGCCAGATTATTATGCATTCAGAAATCATAATAGTCTAGCCATTCAGTGTAGTGTCAATTGGAAAGGGTGTTTGGAAGAAGAAAGGCTTCATTAAACTTGAC